CTAAATCATCCTCCAGTATATAGATATCAGCAACCACCACAGATGTTCCAAAGGTTAAGTGACACCTCATACATTTTTAATAATGTCTGTCTCCATATATTGCGCTGGCAACTTCAGATCAGGTTAACAAGAAACAAGCTACAGGAAACTAATGTGTCAGGTGAAATTACACAACAAACATTCTCATTCGATAAGCTAGATTCCATGACTGACATGCACAGGCCTCTATTATGAAAGCACAGGTTAGTGAAAACACACAGAGGTGGAGAGTCAACTTTAAACACTGCTCGTTGCCATCGCTGCTGCTATTGCTGTAATAATTTTAGACTTTCTCAAATGTTTGTGTACTGATCTGTGGCCAGTTATGTTTTTTTAATATAACGATAGATAGATAGATAGATAGATAGATAGATAGCATAAAGAAAAATAGATTTAGATATTTTTAGGACCATTAGGATTTTTTGCATTAAAATAATGTAAAATAATAAGATATAATTTACCTCGAATTCTCTTTACTGTAAAGTGCAAAAAACAAAGATATTTATGGTATTTTATTTAAATTGTTTAATATTTTAATATCATTTGTTATTCTGCCTTTAATTTATGATGATTAAAAAAATAAAGAAAATTTATTACAGTAATATATTTTTTTAAAAAAGGATTACCATTGACAATCAGTTATTTTAGTATTATTTATATACTATCGTGGGATTTATTAATATTTTAAATTCTTTTTTTATTTTTTGTTTTAATTTGTAATTTTGTTATGTGCATGCTTTTGTAATTTTCATCAGCTACAAATATTTTAATATTTCTATTTAGCTTTATTTCAGTTTTAGTTTTTGTAATTCAGTACTTTTAAATATATTATAATTAAGAACGTCAACTTTCGAGTCGAGCCAGTTTTCGAGTTTTTCATCTAACGTTTATATTTCATTCTATTTCAGCTTCATTTCTATTAATAAAAGAAATGTATAATTTAAAATGCCATTTAAAAAAAAAAATGCATTAGCAAAACGGGCACGTTCAAAACCGAACAGCTGTTTTGGTGTTTTCAGAAAACAATTATTAAATACTTTAAATAATAATATCATAAACAGCACATTGTCACTATGAAGATCTGACCTTATTGGCCATTGAAACATGGCATCTGTATATGTTGATTCTGTGGGGTTAATGTTACACGGCCTGCTCTTCTTAAAGCAGCCAACAATGAAGCTCAACTATTAGCGGAGCTGCTTGAAATATTCAGTAGGAAACCAACACCTGTTTCCAGGTAACCGATGCTGGACTTCTGAGCCGTGTCACAGTGTGTGTGTTTCACTGCTGAAACTGCCTCTTTCATCTACTTCACACTGAATTCAAGGACTCGACCGGCAGCCCAAGTTTTTCTTTTCTTATAAAGTGTCGGCATAAAGACAATGAGGAGAAGCTGGTTTTCATCTTGCACTGAAAACTGACTGTCTCTTACTGATGGAACAGGAGTATTGTTAAAGATTGAGATCTAAGCTAAGGCTGGGAGTTTGTTGATGGTGGCGTAGAGATCCCTTGGACTGTTTTATGAATTTTTGCACACATCTGAGGATCTTTTGAAGGAGTCCGTCATGAATCCCATGTGGAAAGTCTATAAGAGTAAGGTCATGAAGACCCTCAACCCGGAGATGGAGGAAGACACGGTGGAAGACACGGTGGAAGAGGTAAATCCACTGAACCTGAGGACAACACTAAACAGTCATCATGGACAGATATGAGTGAACATGCATTTGAAAAAATATTGAGGCCTAAATTTAAGATTTATCTTTTTGATTTGTTTGCATACAACATTTCCATCCATTTGAATTACAGAGTTTTAACATAAACTAATAAACTAATTGTGATGCATATTTGTCAGAAACAGGCAAGATATCTAAAAAAAAAATCACAGCATTAACTATTTGCATCTATTTGGATTTAATTCAATAGTCATATTTTTAAAAAAAACATCAGCATGAATCTGTTGAGTAAGGTTCAAATTAAATGAAAATTACATTTTAAAAAAGTGAAAAAAAGTTTAAAAGTATGACTATTGTTAAAATAGTTGTGGAACACGCAATATATAGTTAGTTAAAGTGAGTTACTTAATGTATGAGATTGAAACTAACTGGATTTATTGATGATAAATATAGAAACCTGTTTATTGTGTCTTTAAAACACATGCAGTTTATTAATAGATGGACATTTTTACATGCATAAATATTAAATTTAGGCCTATATTTGGGTGTGTTTATTCTGCAATCTTTAAATAACTGTTTGCAATGAGAGAGCAACCTTTTAAGTAGGCCTACTCCAATCATTTAAATTAGGGAAAGAACAACTAAATCCTAAATTTCAACAACTATTATACAATGGCAAGTACTTAGACCAATATGAGTTTTTCATTGACAAATGATGATCCCAATATCTAGAAAGTGGTGGATAAAATGGTGCTATTACATAATACAGTTTTAATTAATATGCATAATACAATTTATTCTGCCTGACCAGTATATCAGTCTAGTATCTGGCCTCTGATCACATTAGTATGCATGCATGCTATCAGTATTTAAGAGTTTCTCCTAACTTTACACTCTTAAAAAATGAAAGTTCTTTATTGGCATCAATGTTTTATGAAGAACCTTGAACATCCATGGAACTTTTCAAATGCAGAAAAGGTTCTTTATATTAGAAAAACGTTCTTTAGATTCTTAAAATGTTCTTTTGGGAACAAAAATGGTTCTTCGATGGAATCACTGCAAAAGCACCCTTTTGGAACCTTTATTTTTAAGAGTGTACCCTTAGAAATAATATCACAAAATGTTTGAATCAAAGATTTTAAGTGCATTGAGTACCATATCTGTTGAAAAAAATTCAGGTTTAACAGTAGGATTCTCATCTGAACCTTTAAAGTTCACCTTTTTGACTAAGGTGAAAAGGGACTGAGGGACACTTTTTCTTCTGTTCCTGTTCAAGTATGTTAATTGGCTAGAGCATGTGTTTTTAAAAACCTAATGAAGGCAATTCTGAGTGTCAGGATGCATTCAAATATTTTAAATATTCTTTCATGTATCTGATCAAGGGAATCCTTGACCCACTTTTCAAAGGCCTGTAACTGGATCTAAAGGGGTGGTAGGAATAGGATGCTATTCCAGCGATTGATTCGAGACGGATAGCATACACTAGGGTGTGTTGGGCTTGTTGGCAGATTCCCCACAGTTCTCGGCTGTCTGTGTGACCTCTCGCTTACCAGTGAACTTGCATAGTTTCCACAGCCTGCTACAACACAGCAATGCCAACAGATTACTGCAGTTTAGTCAAGACCCCCCCTTCTTTCAGTCATGGCTCAATTTATGCATAGTAAATACATGATTGGAGTTGCTCTAAATGTGGTTTTGACAATTTCAAATGATATGCCATTAATTTTTGTATTTACATGTTTATTATTTTGAACCAGCCTAAACTGGTTTGCTTGTCTTAATCTGGCCACCAGGCAGGTTTACACTGGTAACTATAGTTTGATGGTTTTAGACAGGCAATAGTACTTAGTCAGGTTAGACGCCATATTGAATTTAATGCGGATGAAAACGAGGCTGTGATAGATAAACTTTGGGTAGCCTACATTTACACAACAGCAATGTACTAAAAATGAAAAGTTTTGCGCACAGTGCCACAGACGACAACATCCTCAAAACGACTCCCGTTCACTCAGCGTGTCTGCGCACTATAGACTGAACACGCAATACGCATGCGCAGAACGTCGCTGTTTTCGCAAATTCGTGTTTTTGAGGTTACACGGAGACGACAAGGGTATCGTTTTCAAAAAACGTGCAGTTTGAACCACGTTTTCAAACGTTTGCCTTGTCAGGCCCCAAAACGCAGTTGTCGTGTAAATGAACGTCCAAAATGCATACGTTTTCCGTTTTTAGTTGAAAACAGTGACTGGTAAACAACCTTAGTCTTTACAATGGCACTTCAAAAGTGCTTTGTAGAGTTCTTGTCTAGTTACAGTTATATTCAGAAAGACTTTCATCAGCTGAATAGTCGGCATGTTTGTTAAACAACGGTAGGCCTACATTCATTGAACGCGCTGTACTTCAGTCCCTCACAGCCTCATTTTCATTCCTTTTAGAAATGAAATAGGCCGATGGTGCTGCTCTGATAATAGTATTATTTTGAGGTATTTGTCTGAAAACTGTTTCACACTATTCACACTCGTTAAAATTACCTTGATGTTATTTCGCTACAAACCACATGAGGGAGACAAAACATTCATTTTCAATAGGAAGGTATGTAAGCTAGTTTTGACGTGACATGACATGACATGTGGCCAAGTATGGTGACCCATACTCGGAATTAGTGCTCTGCATTTATCCCATCCAAAGTGCACACACACAGCGGTGAACACACTCCCGGAGCAGTGGGCAGCCATTTATGCTGCGGCGCCCGGGGAGCAGTTGGGGGTTCGGTGCTTTGCTCAAGGGCACCTCAGTCGTGGTATTGAAGGTGGGAGAGAGTGCTGTACATTCACTCCCCCCACCTACAATCCCTGCCGGTACGAGACTCGAACCCGCAACCTTTGGGTTACGAGTCCGACTCTCTAACCATTAGGCCCAGCTTCATCGACTTTTATCTGGAAAAATAGCTACACTATAAATTTTTTAATTAAAGTTTTAACCCAAAAGTTGGGTTAGTCCATATTTGACCCAACGTTGGGTTGAAACAACCTAGCATTTTTTAGAGTGTAAAAACATTTATTACCTTAAAGAGCTATTTTGTTTACCTGATTTAACACATATTTTTTTGTACAAATCAATGTGTTTTAGATTTAGTAGTGGTAAAACGTTTTTTTTTTTTTACTTTTGAATTTTTCTGTGTACAAATATTGTAATATAATTTCTCCTTCTGTAACTCACGTTATCTACTATTTATTTTTACCTCTCACTTATCATTATAACTTTCTCTTTGATGAATGTTTGTCTGTGAAGGTCACTGATGCTGCTGAAGATATCACGCCTATCCAGTCTGATGAAGGACCCAATGCAATGACACAGCTGGCCAAGAGAGTAAACCTGGAAAATAAATATTATTCATAATTATTTTATTAAATTAAATGTAGTTTCTGTTTTGGAAACAGCTTTGGAAAGAAAGAAAAAACTACTGCAAACTGTAAAAGTGCGCTTGTAATATATCCACAAATGTTTAACAAAAAAGTTGTTATACAGTTTTTTGGATCAATTATAATATGTCATAGAGGCCACTTCTGAAACTGCTTGAAATTTCATATCAGTTTAACATTTAGACATACTGATGTTTGTTGATCTGAGTCATTGTGTTCATTGCTCAGATGCAGGGAGCCGGAGCTAAAGGTTGGAAAAGTGTATTGTCTCTATTCACCAAGGATGACGAACACCAGCTTCTGGAGGCAGACAATCAGCCGGCAGCAGATCAGTGAGTCTTGTGATGCATTTAGTTCATTTTCTATTGGGAAAGCATGTTGACCGAATGTTTTAGTCACCGATTGTTCTATATTACAACTCCTTGCAGCAGACAGAAAATATATAAGTACCATTTCACACGGAAAATGATCCGTCATTACCGTAATATACTTACATTTTAAAGATTTAAATTATCGTTCAAATGTTTGGGGTCTGTAAGATACTTTAATCTTTTTGAAAGAAGTCTCTTATGCTCCTCAGGTCTGCATATATTTGATCAAAAATATTGCGAAATATCATTACAATTTCAAATATCTGTTTTCTCTTTGAATAAGTTATAAAATGCAATTTATTTCTGTGATGAAAGTTGAATTTTCAGCATAATTACTCCAGTCTTCAGTGTCACATGATCCTTCAGAAATCATTCTAATATGCTGCTCAAGAAACATTTCTGATTACTATCAATGTTGAAAATTTTTTGTGGAATCTGTGATATTTTATTTTTCCGGATTCTTCGATGAATAAAAAGTTCAAAAGAACAGCCTTTATTTGAAATAGAAATCTTGTGTAACATTATAAATGTCTTTACTCTCACTTTGATCAATGTAATGCATCCCTGCTGAACAAAAGTATTATTTTCTTAAAAAAATATATTACTAACCCCAATTTTTTGAACAGTACTGAATACATTTCTTCCGAAAACAAATTGTTTGATGAATAAAACAATCACAAGAACAGCATTTATTTGAATTAGAAAACATTTGTAGTATTGTAAATGTCTTTACTGTATGTATATATTTACTTACCTCACATTTTTTGAACAGTACTGAACATGTTTCTTGCAAAAACATTTAGTAGATCAAAATAAATTTAATCCCAAGTTGCCTTTATCATCTTTCCAGTCCACTGGCAGTGAAGCCAGAAGAGCCTCCTCGACCCAACAAGTGCAGCACTGGATTCTGGGATAACTTTGCGACTAAGTGGCACCAAGCTGCTGCGATGAGGCGAGCGGAGGCCGCGGAGGCAGGAGGCGACGGCAGTGAGGAGGTGGGCAGCGAGAGCGGGGCGAGAGCAGAAGACGGAGAAAACCAGGTCGAGCAGGAGGCAGAGGCGGACGACAGCGGCACGGGAAACAGCTTCTCCAAATACGCCACGCTCGGAGGAGAGAGTGAAGACACACCGGCCTTCAAGTGGAACTTTGTCACCAGCAAACTGGCTGAGCTGAAGACCAAAAGCATGGCCAAGAGTAACTAGCCAACAGAGAGAGCAGGTTATCGCAGTTCAGACCGCAGGGGCCACAGTGCTTCATATGAGCCTTATCACACAGATGTACGGTGATCACATTTCACCAAACCCCTTTAAAAGCATCGACCGTGACCGACACTGTGGCCTCTCTGGGCTTGAACTGGTTGGCATTCATGTGGAAACTGCTGGTTATGGGAAACGTCTGTTCAGTAAAGGTGATGTGTGTCATTTTTAGTGATAAAATATAGAATCGTCATTATTTTTGCAGTTCCATTTGGTGCAGAAGAAATTACACACTTCACTTAAAAAATAAAAAAAAAACGCTGTAAAAAATCAGGGAAGTATGAGAATGAAGTATTAATATATATAGATAAAAAGTTTATATAGCTCAATAGAAAAAGTTCTAACCCGAGAATATTTGTCAAAAATTATCATTAAAATAAAATTATTTTTGTCAAGTGAAAATAGTTTAGTTTTAGTTTTAGTAATAATGCCTAGAAATACCCTTGCAACCAGCCAGAACAGCTTAGCAACACCCTAGCAATCATTTTTAATGCTAAAATACTGAATCGTCGTTATTTTTGTAGTTCATAAATTACACACTTCTTACACACTTTAAAAAAAAGCCAAAATAAATAAATTAAAAAAATAAAAAATCAGGGAATTAGATGAAAAGTTTAATATAACTTGAGAAAAAAAAAGTTCTATAGATACAGATAAAAAGTTGGTGTAACTCAAATAAAAAAAGTTCTAACCCAAGAATATTTGTCAAAACTTGTGCTGTTAATTGTGCAAGTTAAAGTGAAACTACTATTTTGTCAAGTGATATCAGTTTCTTACAAAGAAGTTTAAGCTCAATAACAGCACCTTGTAACACCCTAGCAACCAGTCAGAACAGCTTAGCAACACCCTAGCAACCAGTCAGAACAGCCTAGTAATGACCTGGCAATCAGCCTAGCGACCATCCACTGCAACCAGCCAAGTACTCTAGAAGTGAATGATGTCATAATGATATGAATACATTTATTATTTTCATTGATTTATGTCATCAGGTGTAAGTAATTGAGGATTAAGTGCAATAATAATTAGCCCAGTAAACATTAAGATTAAATGCATTCTGAAAACCCCAGAGGAACAATCTCACCAAGAAAGAAGTAGTATGAATCAGATCAAGGATTTAGCTATTTTATATAGTGTATATCATGTACAATACTTTTTATGTATTGTATATTTAGAAATGCAATTGATAAAGTTGGGGAATGTTTAATTTACTATTTTATTTTAAAGTGTGGAAGTTTACAGAATATGTGTCTGGTGTAGTTCATGCAGTGCGCTGTCTGTTTCATAATGTTCTTACACATTGTTTTGTCTCTTAAGTCCTGGAGTCTAATGTAAGTGTTTATGCACAATGTCTCAAAGGTGCTTTGTGTCTGCTGTCATTGAGTCTCTCTGTCTTTGTTCACAGTTTGCTCTGTTGTCAAAAGTCACATTGAATGATGATTTTTCCTGCTTTGATGTTTTATTTTATGATATAATAAAGTTATGTTGCAAGAACACGTTGTTTTGAGATTTTATTAGGCTATATTTAAATAATATTACAGGGGTTTGTTTGAGGGGTCATAGTGAGTTTTCCTGCTATTGCCAATAGTGAACAGCAGGTGTCAGTGCAGGCTATAATAAACAACACCAAACTTACTGGAAAAAATACCATTTCAACATGATTTATCAGCCAAACTAGGTGATGGGAAGTGACTGTCATTAACGTCCAAATGTTAGATTGCGAAACTTGTGCGACTCTATTTCAGACGAGTCATTAAAAATGATCGGTTCAAAAGAACGATTCGTTTACGAACTGAGCATCATAAAGTTGCTAAGATGGTCCATAATAAATACAAAATCAAAATATATAGCCATTTTGCATTTTACAGCTGTTTTGACCTTGGCCCATAGTTGTTGATTTTACTACTAAATTATCATAAATATATGTGATGGGAAATGCGTTTGTGATATGAACTTATTGGCTTATTTCGTGTCGGAGTGACTCTCTGCCAATTTTTAATTAAGTAACTTGTGGATCAATGCAGACTCGAGTCGCGAACTGATTCAATTGGGTGAATTGGTTCATACAGTGTTCACTTTAAAAGAACCGGTTCAAAAGAACGATTCGTTTGCGAACCGAGCATCGCTAAAGCTAGTTGCTGAGATGGTCCATAAGTAGTATCATATTGTACAAGAAAGCATGTTTTGTTCATATTCTTCTCACAAGGTTTGCCGCGAACCCGACGATTCAATAGAACCGGTTCAAAAGAACGATTCGTTCACGAACCGAACATCATGAAGTTGGAAGCAGAAAAAGCATCACTAAAGCTAGTTGCTGAGATGGTCCATAAGCAGTATCATATTGTACAAGAAAGCATGTTTTGTTCATATTCTTCTCACAAGGTTTGCCGCGAACCCGACGATTCAATAGAACCGGTTCAAAAGAACGATTCGTTCACGAACCGAACATCATGAAGTTGGAAGCAGAAAAAGCATCACTAAAGCTAGTTGCTGAGATGGTCCATAAGCAGTATCATATTGTACAAGAAAGCATGTTTTGTTCATATTCTTCTCACAAGGTTTGCCGCGAACCCGACGATTCAATAGAACCGGTTCAAAAGAACGATTCGTTCACGAACCGAATATCATGAAGTTGGAAGCAGAAAGCAAAACGTGTTTTGTTTATATTCTCACAAGTCTGCACAAGCTCGCAAATTGATAGACATTTTGCATTTTACCGTTTCTTTTGACCTGGCCCAACCACCTTCCTACTTAAATCCAGATTTCCTTCAAACAATAAGGTAGGTAAACAGAACAGTTTTATCAATTGGTTTTATTTTTGACCGCTTTGGCTAATTTCACGTTTGTTACAACGTTTGTCCAAACAATAAACAGCTAGTATTTTGGTGGTAACTCAGGTTACCGTGGTAAATGTCACGTTCATGACTCGATTAGAGGTCAACTATTGTCTTTGCTGGACTGCTCAGATCCATGAGACAGACTGGAACTGCTGTTTTTATTGTCTCACAGTAATATAACCCTCTCTAAGCCTGTCATAACATATGGCTCCATGCAGGATTTGGTCGCTTCGCTTACATAGTTTATGGCCTGCAGGTATGTTTTTCTCATACAGGTGTTGTGGGAAGAGGTTACAGCCCTGCAACAATAACTCATTACAGCAGACACATAATGCTAATGGGAACAGAAGTGAAATGAGTTTGGATGTATTGACTTTCAGTTTTACTGCAATTGTCCAAATGCTGGCCATGCTAACGTAACACTTAAAATGGAGCATTATGTGTCTTTACAAATATTACATACAAATATTTTAGACAATAGATAGAACAAAAACATGTTTTTTTCCACATTACTTTATGAATTTGGTTATTTTAATGCATAAAATAGAACTGTAAATAATCATAAAATCAATGTAACTTTTATTCTATATACAATGCACTGCATTCTTGAACTGTAATCGAGTGAGTATCATGTTTATGGATAGATCTCATGAAAATATTTTTTAAACATATTTTAGGTGCATATTTTAGCATTTTGACATTTTAAAATGACAATTACACTTGTAATGAAAAAAAAAAAAACTCCTATAATAATATATTACTGTTTTATTTGTTGTACTGCATTTATGCAGATCAATAGATTTTTTTTAATTATTATTATAGTATTTTTTCTGTAGTGTCTTTTTTGGATAAACCTTGTGAAAAGAAAAATTGTAACATAATTTAGCGCCATATTTTTTACATTCTTTTAATGACAATATACACACCTGTAATGCAAAAAAAAATCCTATAATATATTATTTACATTTTATTTGTTGTACTATGTTTATGTATAAGAATAAAAATCATTTTGTTTATATTACAGTATTTTTTCTGTGATAATGTATCACACTAATGGGAATGTAAAGCGAATCATAATCATAAGAATAATGCAAATTACGAAAAAGAGAATGAGAATTTGGAGGTTAAATGTGTGTAAATGTTATGCAAATAACCTCACAATGCAAAAAATACATACATACATACAGTACATACATAAAAAAATAAATTGTCAATTTATTTATATTTTAATAATTTTTTTGATAATGTTTTTGTCTATTGTACCACAACTGTAAAGTGTTCCATAAGTGAGTTCTGGAAAGGCACAAATTAAACATTAATATTATTATTATTATTAAAAACAGGTACATTTATTATAATAAAAAAAAATTGTTTATGCAAAATATAATTTCTTATTTTTCTCATTTGATTTTTAGATTAAAAAAAACCAAACATTTATTTTATTTTTTTATGATATCTGAGATCTTTCTGCATTTCCTTTTCTTCATTCCTTAGAGTTGAAAGAAAGAGTAGTCTCAGCCTCTTGTGAGGTACGGCATCACCTCGAGTGAAATTATAAGACAAGCATAATAAAACACATACCAGCTCAGCCCAGACTTTAGTCATCCTCACGTAAAGCCGCCCTGCGCTGCAGACAGACATGCCTGCCAGCACCTGTGGGTGACTTGGGCTCGTCTGCGAGGGTCTGTGACTCATGTTTGGAGGCAACAGGTCCATCTGGAAGATCTGTGTCTGAACAGAGCCACACAAACATGCATGTGCCACTACAAACACAGTTGCTAGACTGCGTTTGTAAGGTAAATGGCCAGGTGTAGTTTCCCATGATACAGACACAAATACAATTACTCCAGAGGACTACAGTGAACAAATGTTAGGGAAGTGTTGACCTCCTCACCTGCGTTTCTTCTCTGATGTGGCACAATTGCCCATTTGTTAGCGTTTGATGTCTCAGTAAAAGCCTTGCAGTCTAGCAACTGGACTAAACATGCAGGTTACACTTTAGTGGCTGTCCTTTCACATGAGGTGTAGAGAAAAACCTGTGATTTTGGGGAATAGTTGAACGTGGGAAGAAAATGTGCTGATTATTTATGCAGCCTAGCCTGCAGGCCACAGGAGCCGCTTCCTGAGAAACTCGCAGTA